TTATTCAATTAAAATATTTTCCAATTCTTATTATATTTCTTCTTTGACTCTTGAGCTATTTAGATTAATTTCCAAAACATTTAGGGGTTTTCTAGTTATCTTTTTCTTATTGATTTCTTGCTTAATTTCACTGTGGTCAGAGAACATACGTGTATGATTTAATTTCTTTGAAATTTGTTGGAACTTGCTTTTAAAGCCCTGCCTATGGTCTTTTCTGGTAAATGTACCATGTGCACTTGGAAAGCTTATTCAGAGTTATTGATAGCAGTGTTCTATAAATGTTGATTAGGTCAAGTTGCAACTCATATTATTCAAATTTGTCTCTCTACTGATTTTTGACAGCTTTTCTATCGGTTACCCACAGAGGTATATTCAAATCTCCCACCATGATTGTGGATTTTCTCTTTTACCTTTTAGTTCTGCCAGTTTTTGCTTTTTATGTTTTAAGATTATATTTGTAGGTGCATACAGATTTGGAATTGATATCTTCCTACTAAATTTTGACCAGTTTTTAAATTATGAAATATCTTTCTTTATCTCTAGTAATACTTAAAGTCTACTCTGTCTGCTATTAGTTTACCTGTACTAGCTTTCTTTGGCTACATCATGATATATCCCTTAGTTACTGTCAACCTTTCTATATTGTTATATATATATATATTTGTGTGTGTGTGTGTGAGGAAGATCGGCCCTGAGCTAACATCTGCCAATCCTCCTCTTTTTGCTGAGGAAGACTGGCCCTGGGCTAAGATCCATGCCCATCTTCCTCCACTTTTTATGGGATGCCGCCACAGCATGGCTTGACAAGTGGTGCATCAACGTGCACCCAGGATCCGAACCGGCGAACGCCAGGCTGCCGCAGTGGAGTGCGTGCACTTAACTGCTTGCGCCACTGGGCCAGCCCCCCTATATTGTTATATTTTAAAGTAGATTTATAAGCAGCATCAAGCTGTTTTTTTAATCCTGTCTGACAATCTTGGTCTTTTAATTGGAATATTTAGTCCCTTTGCAGTGCATGCCATCTCCTTTCTTGCTTCTCTTGGATTAATCAAATATTGTTACTAATTAAATTTTATCCTGTGTTAGCATGTTATTTCTATTCTTTTATTATTCTGTCAGTGGTTGCCTAGCAATTACAGCACACGTCCTTAACTCCGTGTAGTCCACCTCAGATTAGCACCCTCACCGTTTCCCTGACAACACACGGTGCTTATAACTGTGCAACTCCATTGATGCCCTCCACCTTTTATGCTATTTTTATCATACGTTTTAGCTACAGGTATACCTAAAACCTCATGAAACATCATCAGTATCATTTCAGTCAATACTAGTTTCAACCTTTTCAAATATCTGTTCTTTTCTGGGTTCTTAATTCCTTCCTGTATCTCCCTGGGTCCTCCTAGGATCATTTCTCTCTGCCCCTGAGTTGTTCTTTCAAAGCAGATCTCCTGGCAGAGAATTCTCTTGGTTTTGGTTTCACTCTTTTTTTTTTTTTTTTTTTTGCTGAGGAAGATTAGCCCTGAGCTAACATCTGTGCCAATCCTCCTCCACTTTATATGTGGGTCACTGCCACAGCATGGCTGATGAGTGGTGTAGGTCCACACCTGGGTTCTGAAGCTGTGAACCTGGGCAGCCAAAGTGGAGTGCACTGAACCCAACCACTACCCCATGGGTCCAGCCCCTCCTTTTTTTAAATTATGGTAAAATATACATAACATAACATGTACCACCTTAATCATTTTTAAGTATGTAGTTCAGTGGCATTAGGTACATTCACATTGTTGGGCAACCGTCACCTCCCTCCATCTCCAGACCTTTTTCATCTTCTCAAACTGAGACTCTGTCCCCATTAAACAATAGTGAGTCCCCATCCCCTGCCCCCAGCCCCTGGCACCCACCCTTCTACTCTCTGTCTCTCTGAATTTGATGACTCTGGTGCTTCATGTGAGTGGAATCATGCAGTATTTGTCCTTTTGTGTCTGGCTTATTTCACTTTCACCTCCATTTTTAAGGATGTATTTGATGAGTATAGAATGCTAAGTTGTTAGTAATTTTCCTTGAGATGATGTCATCTGGCTTTCATCCTTTCTGTTGATAAGCCAGCCATCAGGTTAATGTGACATCATCCCCTCCCTCCTTCACTGCTTCTGTGACATTCTCTGTGCCTTTGGTCTTCATCAGTGTTCTTCTGATGGGTCTGGTGTACCTTGTATCTCTCCAACATGGGTCCAAACAGCTGCTTGAGTCTGTGACCTGATGTCTTCCATCATTTTTGGAAAATTCTCAGCCTCTGAGTGTTGTTTTTAATCTCTATTTTGTTCTCTATTTTGTCTCCTCTCATTCTGAGATTTCACATGTATTAGAACTTTAACCATCTCGCGTCTTACATTTTTTTCTTTATGTTTAATTGTACTTTCTCTCCATACTCCAACTGGCTCTTTTTTCCCAGTTCACAAGTATTCTTTTCTTCTATGTCTCCTCTGCTATCAAATTCACCTATTGCATTCTTAATTTCCGTTATTGTCCTTTCTGTTCTAGAATTTCCATTTTATTATTTTTAACAGATTTTATTTCTCTAGTGAAATTCTCCATCTTTTCATCTGTTTCCTTGAACCTATTTAATATGGTTATGTTAAAGTCTTCACCTAAAAACTCAAAAGCAAACCACAATCATCTATCTGCTCAGGAATCTGTGGGTCAGCATTTGGGGCTGCTCCTCTGGGTGATCTCACTTGGGTTCATCCAAGTGGCAGCTTCATGGTGACTGGGTGGTCTCAGCCAGCTTCACATGTCTGGAGTTGTCTGGAGCTATCAGCCCCGGTGCCTCAGCTCTCCTCCATATGACTGTTCTAGCAGCCCGGCTCAGCCCGTGTCTACACGGCAGCAGCATTCTAAGAGGGTGAGAGTTGAAGCTACAAGGAAACTTGAAGCCACAGCTCGGAACATGCAGTCCACTTCCACCATGGTGGCAATAGACTCTACCTTTTGATGGGGGAATTGCAAAGGATTTGTACCCATCTGTATCCACCACAGTCTGCCCACCTGCTATTAATTTTCACATTCCCCTCAATGCAAAATTCACTCACCTCTCCAAGACACCTCAAAGTCTCATCCAATTAGAGACAGCATCATGCTCAAAGTTCAATATCTTATGATCTGCCTCTTTTTCCAGCCACTGTTCAATGCCTGGTCCCAAGCCCAGCACCATGTGTTTTAGGATTTTGATCTGACAGTACCCCACTGTTGACTCCTAATTTCTCTGTCTGTAATCTATTGCTGCATAGCAAACCACACCTAAATTTAGTGGCTCCACACCACAACTCATTTCCTTGCTCAGAATTCTGTGGGTCAGCAATTAGGTCTCAGCTCAGCAGGAAGGCTGTTGTGCTGGCTTTGTGTGGGGCAACTTGTGCAGCCACACTCACCTGGTGGCTGATCAGGGCTGGATGGTGGAAGATGGCCTCACTCACGTCTGCTGCCTGGTGCCGGCTGTTGGCTAGAATGCCTCCATTCTCCTCCATGTGGCCTCTCCAGCCGGCCAGCTCTGGCTGGTTCATGTGGCCACATTCCAAGAGCATATGAGTGACACACAATGTGACTTCCCCAGTATTCTTTTTGTCACAGGAAGTGTCAAGGTCAGCCCAAATTCAAGTAGTGGGAAAACAAACTATCTCTTGGTGGAGGAGCTATAAGCACTTAAGGCATTGAATCTACCACATCTGTAGGTCTGTTTCTATGGTCTATCTTTCCTCTTGGTTTTCAGTCTTTTGACTACATAAAAAAAAAGTAGAGTCTCGACGATATTGTCTCCCTACTCTGGCATACAAAAGGTGCAGAGCAGAGCACCTTGCTCCAGGTGGGGGTTGAGATAATTTGAGGCCACAGAGGTCTCAACTGAAAGCTTGGGGTGTTTACTGGGGCCCCACCTCCTTGGTAGATTCTGAACCCCAATTGTCCTCTCCCCAGTGAGTCTGTGGAGTCCTCTGCTTAGATTCTAGCCCTCCTAGGGGCTACTTTTTGCTCACTCAGAATCTCACCCCGTGCCTGTACAGCTTAATGCACAAATGCTTCAAGGGAAAATTGCCTGAAGAAGAGCTCACTTCTCTCTGGTCCCCTGTTCACCAGGATGTTGTCCCCTCAAGTCCTCAATGGACATACAAATGTTCAAGGAGGGAGATCAGCTGCATGTGTGGGCTCCCCCGGTTTGCTCTCTTCTGAGCCCTTGGCCTTCAAATCTTCGTTGCTCCCCAAAGCCAGCACACAGCTGGGTGGGGGTGCTTCCTCTGGTTGTTATGGGTGCTCTTGGCAGAAAGTTTAGTCCGATGCGAGCTTTGTAGCCAAAAGCAAAAACCATGGTGTTTCCATCTGGATGTATTTCCTTCCAGTCTTATTTCTATGCACATATATTTCATCGATTGTGTTTCCTTTGTTGATGATGTTTCTAGAAGGATCTATGTCACTAGAAGGAACTTTAGAGGGGAGACAATGCAGTCCCCTTAACAGAGTGGCTCAGTCGTAACTGTCTCTAGCTAACTTGTCCTGCAGACCCTACATTTTCCAAGTGTGTGTCTGTGCATGGGGCCACAGAACATTCCAGCTGAAAGGGGCCTTAGGGGTCATCTGTTTGTATCCCCTCCCTATTATACTGAGGAGGACGCTGAAGGCTCAGGGATAGATAGAAGCTTCTGTGACTCTACCATGAGTTAGGGGAATAGCTATTGCAAACCCAGGACCCAGACTTCCATCCCACTTCTGAGTGACAAGCGAAATAAAGGCCCCTCTGGGAACACCCCGCCCATTAAAAGCCTTCTGCCCTGGCCTCTCCTCCTCCCTCTACCAGGACATGGCCTTGAAGGTCTCTGTCCCATGGGGTTGAAACTTTTCCTTGTTTCTGGAAGGGCCCAGCCCACGTGCAGCAGGGGGCACCTGGGGAGGCACCAGGCACAGGATGGCTGTCGCAGGGTGCCCACTCACGGCCTCCCCTCCGTTCTCCACTGCAGGTTGCGGGAGCACCATCGGGCCACCATCAAGGTCATCCGGCGCATGCAGTACTTTGTGGCCAAGAAGAAATTCCAGGTGAGTCCTGCGCTGAGCCCTCCTGCCCTTGGCCTGCTCCAGAAGCCCCTCTCCCGCCCGGGTGGAGGCGCGAGGTCTCCATCCCCTGCCACACAGGCAGGGCCATTGAAGATCTGACCCGTCACCTGGCAGACTCCCTGCAATGATTCCGTTATCCATCCCCCGGAGAGCAGGCCCCTACAGGGACCCTTCCCTGATGGGTCCTGGCCCTGAGGCCCAGCCCAGAGCCAAGGACACATCCAGCCTTCCTCTTCCTCTGCACCCCTCCCCTGATCAACAGCAGGTGATGTGGCAGTGACTCAGAGAGAGTGCAGAGCCTGCCCTGCGTCACTTGGGCGGGAAGTGGGGTCCCTCAGACCACAGAGCCCTGTCTCACGTGGCCTCAGTGCTCTTGTCACCCCTACCCCGACACCGTGTGAGTCAGGGGAACAGAGGGGAAACCTGGCCCTCCTCCGTGCCTGGGGGTGGCCCGCCTTGACAGGGAGAGGTAGGGGTACCTTGGCTAAGTGGACCTGGAGCCCATGGCTGCCATACCCGTCGGCACTGTTCCAGGGCTGGGTCTCCTACAGCAGCTGCTTGGAGCCCCCAAAGCCCAAGGCCCCAGAGAAGGCCAGTTGGTGGCAGGCTCGGCCCCCTTCCCTCTGCTGTGGGGACAGTCTGAGGGGGCGCTCCTGGAGTTGCCTTCGCTCTGAGAACACGTAGACTTAGGAAAGAGGAATTCTCTGGTGGGTGGTCATTCTTTCCAGAAGGCTTGGCCAGGTTCCCTTTAAAAAGTGAGCACCTGATGGAGTCAGGGCTGGGGGTCCCCGGGAGCTAGCAGCAGTGTCTAGATCCCCTAGGGCTCGTTTTACCACATGGGTGGGTTGGGGGCGACTTGTTCACACCCCTCAGAGTGGGGAATCAGTGCCCCTGCATCGTTCTCCAGGCCACACCTTCCATGCCAGGCTGCAGGATTGACCCGGGCTCATGTACACCCCCTTCAGCAGAGCCCCCACCCAGCCGTCCACGGGGCCAGACCCCCACCCCCAGCAGCCCTGGGCCAGTTCTTCCCCTGTCAGTAATGGGAACAAGAGCCTGAGGGGTCGGCACAGGACCACGTCCACACGTGTCTCACATGGGCCTCGCCCACGGCTGCCCTTGGGCAGCAGTCACCCTGACCCTGACCACCGCTGGTCCAGGCCCAGGAGCAGCCCCTGGGCGGCGGGGCGCCTCCCCAGCCGCCTGCCTCTCCTGCTACCAAGAGCAGCGTAGGGCCCCCTTGGCCGGGATGGCTTGCAGACACAGCCCCTCGGTGGCATTCTGCTGCCTGTCCGTCTGTCTGCCCGCACCCCGGGGGCAGGCCTTTCACCACCGACCTGGGGCAAATTATGCTAAGGCTCCCACCAGGGCCTGGGCCTTCCCATTGCCAAAACAAAAGAGCCTCGGTCAACGCCGTCCTCGGCCGGCACCGGGAGGTCTGCCCGGCACGTCCTGGGTGAGATGTGATGGCCCCAGATGGAGGGCGTCTGGATTCTCTGGCCTCTCCTTCCCAGAGGGCCCCGGTGGCGCTGGCGGTGCCCCGCAGAGGGGCAGTGGGTAGGGCGGGGAGCTGATGGGGCACTGGAGAGGAGGGACTGGAGTCAGGCAGGGAGAGGGCTGCAGGAATCCCTCTCAGAGGTCAGGTCTGGGCAGGACGGTCCCCCAAGGGCCGGGATGTGTGACCTTAACTGAGAGCAGCCTGGTGGTGACAGCTAAAGCCACATATGTCAACCTGCTGGAGCAGAGGAAGCAGTGGGGGCTCCTCCAGGACGGGGACAGTCCCCAGCCTGAGGAGCTGGGCCACAGAGGCTCCAGAGCAGGTCCCCTCAGGGCAGAGCTCGTAACCACTGCTTGAGTAGGGGTGGGGGGGGCCGTGCCAGGGTGGATGCCAGGCTTGCCTGGAGCTGCTTCCAAGGTCTGGGGGTCCCCAGCAGAGCAGGCGGAAACTTAGGGCTCCTGGCAGGCCTGGCTCAGGGGTGACACGCGCAGCTTCCAGCTCAGGACCACAGATTGTCCTTGGCAGGCGGGCGCCCACAGCGGCTGGAGCCGGCCTGAGCTCTGGTGAGCACCCGTCAGTGGAGTGCAGGCAAGAAAACAGGCTGCTGGCATCGGTGGGGGCCCTGCACTCCCTTCCAGGCTGAGGGTCCCCATTTCTGCCTCAGGACACAGGCCAGGGTCCTGCAAGTGTCCCTCAAGTCTGGAAAGCAGCCTGGACAACCCCCACCTCTCCTGCTCTCTGCCCTCTCCTGTGCACAGGACCCCCGGGGGCCCTTGAATAAACTGGATGGGGCCCTTCTGGAGGACAGAGGCTCTCGAGCAAAGCCAGGGTCTGATGCTGCCTCCCGCTTCACAGCTGGCCCTCATTGCTGGCGGCACATAGAGGGGTGGGGAGCAGGAGGCCTCCTAGGAGGAGGCACCCACCAAGTAGGGGCAGTGGAGGGAGCCCCTGGAGTGAGGAGCAATGTGGGGCTCCAGGGGCGGCCCCCACCCTGGGCCCAGCTGTCGTGGATGCCTTTGCTTCCCCCGCAGCGGCCTGTCTGTCTGTCTGCCTGCACCCCCACCCCCGTCTGGCCTCAGGGGCTGCGGACGTGGCGGGTGGCCCCCCTGCCGGCCCCGCGGGCCGATAAGTGCCCGGCTGGCCGCCCCTGTGTCTAGCCAGAGGAGCCAGAGCCTCTCAGCCCTTCAAGTTTGCCTTGAACTCCCATGTCCACCGTCCGTCAGTCTGGACAGCCCAGCATTATCTCGGCTCATCTCAGGCTCCTGCTGCTGCCGCCAGAGGAAATTAGCTCTAGAGAGAAAGCCAGGATGATCTCTCCAGCCAGCCCCAGGCGGCCACTCGACAGAGGCCCCCAGGAGCGCTGACCAGACCCCGGGGGAGCCATCAGCTCCAAGACAAGTCTCAGAGGCTTGGGACCCCGCTGGGCCACAGCGCCTGGGTGTCACCCCACCCCCACTCTTGCAGACGTGCACACACTCAGGCACACACACACTATCACCCTCACATGCCTACCCACAGTTGTGGCTCACACTCTCACACCTTCCCACGGTCACATTTGTATACGTTTGTGCATGCAGAGGATCCTAACACACTTAGGTGGACACAGTGGCCCATGACCTCCCAGGCTGTCTGGGAGACCAGCACAAGGACCCCACTCCACCCTAGGCCAGACCTCTGAACCCAGCCAGTTCTCCAGCCTGCCCCAGGCCTCACCAGCCTGCCTGGAGGTGCTACCTGCCTCACAAAGCCCTTTGGTCCACGGGAGGCTGACTGCCTCGACTTAGGGCTGCCTTTAGTGTGTGCTGAGGAACAGCTCAGACTCTGGCTCAGCCACAGCCACCAGCACAACCAGTTCTGGCTCTCCTGGCATGAGGCGGCTCAGAACTCCCTGACCTTCCTCACTCACCATCTTATTTTATCCTCACTCCCTCCCCGTCAGCCAGAGTGAGGCAGGGCTCAACATCCCCATGTTACAGAAGGGAGGAATAGGGCTCAGCATTCCCATCTTACAGAAGGGAGGAGCAGGGCTCAGTATCCTCATCTTACAGAAGAGGACAAGGTTCAGCATCCTCATTTTACAGAAGGGGGGAACAGGGCTCAGCATCCCCATATTACAGAAGGGAGGGACAAGGCTCAGCTTCCTCATTTTACAGAAGGGAGGAGCAGGGCTCAGCATCCCTGTCTTACAGAAGGGAAGGAAAAGGCTCAGCATCTCTATCTTACAAAAGGGAGGGACAAGGCTCAGCATCCCCATCTTACAGAAGGGAGGAGCAGGGATCAGCATCCCCATCTTATAGAAGGGAGGGACAAGGCTCAGCAT